GGCGGCGGGGGCGGCCCGCAGCCCCGCCGAGTGGCAGATGCACAGCCCCAGCAAGGTGAGCAAGGCAGGCCCACGCTCAGCCGGGCCCCGATTGCTGAGCGAGTCCATAGTGACAGCCAGGTCCAAACTGAATCTGCGCATCGGGTTCTGGGTCGACAAGGTACCTGATGAGGCACAGCAGCGGGAGAGCTCGGGCTGGGCTCAGTGGGACGCCTCCAGCGCGGAGGAGGAGAGCCCCTATGTGAAGCAGAGCTATGCGGGGGAAGCCTCTCCTGCGCCTCCTTCCAGCGCATTCCCTCCAGCAGTTCTTGTCCATCTGCTGGCCCAGACACAGCCAGCCAAGCTCCTACAAAGGGAGCGTGCTGGGGACCGTGGCTCTCGAGCTGTCACAGAGGGCACTCTGAGCCTTCTCGCAAGGTCTGCTCTGCTCTCCTGTGAGAGGGGGTGCTGCCAGAGGTGCCACAGAATTCACGTACCCTTTTGAGGGTTCCATTTTGTAATTTGCCATGTGTCATACTCAGGAGAGGAAAAGGAAGGTGAGTGCATTAGGTACTGGAAACCTGCTGGGAAGGCAAAATTAGTGAATTTCAATAAAGCTTTGCTGCATTGCGCTTCCTAAAACAAATATTTCATTATTTCTTTAAAATGAAGAATTATGAAAATGTACAATGAAAGCCCTGGTGGTAAGAAAAGTGTTTGAAGTACTTAGCAGATTCAGAATTACATGCTTAATATGTGTGGGTTTTTTCTTTAGTTCTTCCTTTAATTTATAATGATGTTTTTTTCCTTGGGGATTACACTGCTGCCCATTTTGAGAATAAGATCTATGCCTAAGGATATGTGAAGTCATTAAAAAAAAATTCAGTAATGACTGCAATCTATGCTCTATCTTTTGAAGTTTGCAAATAGCAATCCTTTCAATAATGTATATTCATAGAATATTCTATCTGAAAACGAAATTCTACATCGAGATGAAGAGGGGTTTCTCAACTGTAAATAAAAATTTACTGTTACGAGTTAAAAGTTTTTTCACAGTAGGAAGGTTAATGCAAGAGATCAGTGGTGGGGAGAGGTCATCCTCCGGTAGTATAATCTACCAAATATTTATGGAAGTTACTGTAACATAAAGATATGACTGTGTTAAAGGCAGTATAAACCTGAAAATTACTTCTGGTCTTGTCATGTTAAAAAGCAGTTTGGCTCTTAGATCTGAAGAGTAGTTTTGGCTCTTGGATTTACTAGGAAAGAGAACAGCACTTGTGTTAGGAGTGAATTACTGATTTGTTCGGTGGCGGGGAGGAGGGAGGTTAGCTAGTTCAGCGTAGCTAATTAATTTCCGTTCTCTTTTCCTTCCAAGACTGCTGGGAGGAAGGACTTCACTTGTACCAAGGAACGAAACAACATATGATAAAGATGATGTACTTGTGGGAGGTTGGGGAGAAAATCTTGCTTCCTACCCTTGTCTTTAAGAAGAAAGTACAGGGTTGCAGAAGAACAGGCTGTCTTCTGAGACTTCTTTTATCTCTCTTTTTTTTTTTTTTTTTTCAAATCATTCTAGGAAGTGAGACTCTACCAGTGTTGAGAATAGCCCTGAAAGACTTGAAACTCCTGTCTTTCCTTTTATGCCTTTTGTCACTGCTCTGGTAACTGTGTTATCATGCTTTAGCAGGCAACCACCCAGAAACTGCTCATGTTAAGAAACTCTCCCTTCTCTATGATGCCGGTAGCAGTCTGTGTGTGGGTGTGGATGTGTAACTCAGTCCAGCTTCATCTCAACCCGTTGGCCTAAGGCTGTAATACAGGTGCGAAGCAGTTGTTTTAATAGGAACACAGGGATCATTCTCCATGGGTATGTTTGTCTCGTGCAAGGCACAGATGTGCAAAATAGAGCTAAATTAGTTTGAATTTTGTAAGCAGGATGGCGAGGTCAGTATGACATAACTTCATGCAGCCTCATACCCATTTTAATTGCCTGACAACTCGGGTGCTAAGCATGTGCTACACTATATAATGCGTATACATGCAGTCAACTACTCATGGTTGTTTCCTTTGGGAATTTAATCTATGTACAGCAAAATCTCAACATGTCTGAATATTGTTTGAAATAGTCACATCAGGGATGAGACTTCCTCTTGTTTTTACTGGAAAAACCTGCAAGTATTTAGTAATACTGGACTGCTAACTTAATCAAAGTCTTATTAGAAAACATAATTATATCTGTCTTTGGAGGAGTTCTGGGAGGTTGTCTATTGAAAAAAAAAGAAGCTCAGAAGACATAAACATGCTCTTTTGAGGGGCTGTTTGCATTGCTCTCAGTTTACTAGGTGTGCTGCACCAATCTACATAGAATGTGATTTTAAGTGGTTAATTCCTTTGGACATTGAAAACATTTGTCTGGCGTAAACAAAGGAAGGTATCTCTTTGTAAGGTATTTGTCCCTGGTGGATTGACATCAATAAGAATCTTAGAGCTTCTTCCTCCCACTCTCCCAGTGGCACAGGGGAGAGGATAGGAGGAACAGAAGTGAAAATACTTATGGCTCGAGGTATATAGTTTAATAAGCAAAGGGGGAGTGGGGAACAAAACAAGTGACGCAAAGGTATTCACTAACCACTTCTCACAAGCAGATTGATGCCCAGCCATTGTCTGAGCAATGGTTACCTTCTCCCAGAAACCTCCCCTGAGTTTCTCTTGCTGAGCATGACGTGGTATGGCATGGAAGATGCCTCTGGTCACAGAATCACAGAATCACAGAATAGTAGGGGTTGGAAGGGACCTCTGTGGGTCATCTAGTCCAACCCCCCTTCACTGGGCACCACTGGAAAGAGCTTGGCCCCATCTTCCTGACACCCACCCTGCAGATATTTGTAAGCATTTATTAGGTCCCCTCACAGCCTTCTCGTCTTCAGGCTGAACAAGCCCAGCTCCCTCAGCCTCTCCTCATAGGAGAGATGTTCCAGTCCCCTTATCATCCTTGTAGCCCTCTGCTGGACTCTCTCCAGTAGCTCTTCATCTTTCTTGAACTGGGGAGCCCAGAACTGAACACAGTACTCCAGGTGAGGCCTCACTATGGCAGTGTAGAGAAGAACCTCCCTCGTCTTGCTGGCCACACTCTTCTTGATGCATCCATGGATCCCATTAGCTTTCTTGGCAGCCAGGGCACACTGCTGGCTCATGGTTAACCTGTCGTCCACCAGGACACCCAGGTCCCTCTCTGCAGAGCTGCTCTCCAGCAGGTCCACCCCAAGCCTGTACTGATGCAATTGTGACTTTTAGTCACAAATCCAAAACAGAGCATCGTAAGGCCTGCTGGCTAGAAAGATGATTAACTCCATCCCTGCCAGACTCAGTGCAGTCTCTGATCTTACTATTGCCATCCAGCCTGAAGATAATAGATCTGTTATTCTAGGGTATGCCAAATATATACAAAGCTTTTTAGAACTGGAATCATCTTCTAGAACAGTTAAAATGTAGACGGTGAGTAGATACAATAAATAAGAGCATAAAGGGGATATAATGCACCTGTTACCTGACCACTTGAGCAGGTTTTATGCCTCTTAGAGTTGGGGACTATCAGTAATTATATCTACCTATGGGTGTTCTGGTTATCATTCAGCAATGTGTATTTTTAAACAAAATACTTACCATCATTTTAAGCCACTTCACAGTTCCTCGTACGAAAGGAGAGTCCTTAGCTAATACTTTTAGTTTCCGTATAGAAGTCTTTCAGACCTTGCATTTTTTAAAGTACTGAAAGACACCACACAGGGGGCATTAGGCATGCATTAAAACAACCTGTGCTTCTTTCACCTGTAATCTCACCCTTTTTCTTTACACTGCTATAGTAATTCTTGGCTTTAAGAGGGCTAAAACGGGTGGTGGGGTGGCAGACCACTCTCCCTCCAAAGAATCACTGGCAGTGTTTTCAGCGATATCTCTAATATAAGAATAGTAGATATACAAGAAGAAGCTGTAACCTAGAGTTACAGCAGTGGTAAAAAAATTTTAAAAAGTATGATTTCTCACCATATGATTTTGTATTATATGATTTCTCACACCCACAAGCGGAAAAAAACTGCATGATTTCTATTCTGTGGCAGGACCGTATGCCAGCCCAAACCCGGATGTGGGATCACTTGAGTCATTGTGAGGCAGAGGTGCAGATAGTCATGGCAATGCTTATCTGCTCGCTGTATGCCAGGAATCGTCTCTGATTTCATGTTGGCTGTAAGAGTCTGCACCACCTAAAACTTCTGCTCTTGCACATCTGGCTTGTGCTTAGCAGTTGCAAAGAGAAGACTGCAAACATTGCCACCTTTTTTTTTTTATATTTATCATCTTGACTGTAAGAAGCCCTCAGATAATTTGCAGTTTCCAAGGGCAAGTAAACTGCATTTATTTCATAGCTGAAATGAATTTTAATTAGTAATCAATGTTCTCTGTTTTTTCTTTTCAAATGAAGGGTTAGAGGTAAATAAAGTGACCCTGTAAGTTTTAATCCAACATTTCTCGTCGGGGGAGCACTTGAGAGAGTTGACAAGTGAAGTGTTCTTTTGAATCTTGTTTTTTACCAGTCAAAACCGCTGCTGTAATAATGGAAAAAAACCCAACAAATAATCTAATGAATACCTGTTATTTGAATTCTTAGAAAGTTTGGAATAACGCTGCAGATGTTAGCTGCCTGTTTCCAACACTGAGTGATTTCAGCAGCCATTTGAACAAAAGGGAAAATGATCTATGTCATAGACATCACCTTTTGTACTCGAAGCATTTTGTCATTTTTCATTTTGTTGGTTTTTGAAGGCTGGAGGAATGCTGGTGTAACAAACGCTGATAATCAACAGCTTCATGAAGTATTTTGTTGGAGGGTTTTTTTTTGCCTGCATCTTCATGTGGTGTCCAAATGAAATGCCATACGTGGTATTTTCTTAGCAAAAGCAATCATAGTCTTTGGGATTTAGGAGGCATGAATGATGAGACTTGCCTTTGTTTCTTGTGGTCATATGAACAGGAATCTTGTATGCTTTGTGCATGAAATTACATGAAAGGAAACATTGCTATCCGTTTTCTTAAATTTCTCTTACACATTAAATTTCTAAATTTCAAACAACTTGGGTCAAAAGGGATTCCTGTGTTTGCCACTGTTTCCTCAGCTACAAAACTTGCATAAATAAATATATCCAAATATAAAGAGATACTGCTGGTGTGAGGACATTTACACAACAAATTTCAAGTAGACTTTGATTCACTTTTATATTGAATCATTATGCTATACTTGTCTCGACACAGAAGAGACTATTTTGAGAGCATATGGCCTGGAAAAGTATTGCTAAGCAGGTGTAACAGAAATTCTTCTCATAATAGCTCCAAATAATTCAGACAAATATGTTATGGATGGTCGTTCCTGACATGAAGGGAGTATATAATTGTATAG